TAAATAAATTGTAATATATTCACACAGTGGAATATCCTGAATCACATACTCTGTTAGACTATAGATTTAGCATGAATATTTCTGTCCATTCATCAGTCCCTCGGCTGACGAATATATTCAAATGCCAAAGGGATGCATAATCTGGTTCTCAGGTGACATCAGACACCTGTCCTGAAACCAATTGTTCAAAGTTTTCATGGCCAGTACATCAAGACAACATGGCTCTTGGTTACAGAACAAACTCTGAAGATGAAGTGGCAAAAATCTCCCATTTTTACCCCTGTTTCAATAACCAGATAAAATCAAAGAATGTTTCAAGGACATATTGAGAGGTAGAAAAGAGGACTGCGTTGTTGGTGTCATTTCACAGATGAGGGACTTTTAGTCATTTTTAGAATCTGGATCATTGAGCCATGACGTCTATGAACTAAAACAGAAGTTAGAAGACTTCGTCTGTGAGAAGCGCCAGATAGCAAAATCTCTAGACTTGCTATTATAGATCTCTGGTGACTATTCAATTATGTACATGAATGGACCTGGCAGGATTCCAATATAACCATGTGTGGATACCAAAAATCTAATTCCATGTCATTTTCTTATCTATGTCATGAAATACTATTTTTCTTTTTTCTGACCCCTCCCAATCAAAATAGTATTTTTCTTTTAATTTTTCAACCATTTAAAAATTTAAAAACCCAATCAACTACATTTCAATAAAAAATTGATAAAAATTTTAAACAAATAAAAATAAGCAGATAAATAATATATCTGTGTATATGTCTATATTTGTTGTTGTTGCTCAGTCGTTAAGCTGTGTTCACCTCTTTGCAACCCCATGAACTGCAGCACTTCAGGCTTCTCTGTCCCCCACTATCTCCCAGAGTTTGCTCAAATTCATGCCCATTGAGCTGGTGTATATATAAATATATATCTATATATATATGGATCTATCTTAGCCCACAGGCTGTACCAAAACAGGTAATGGGATGGATTTACCCAAGGTCTTAGTATGCTGACCAAACAACTATGTGAACTTTCCAGCTGCCTTCAGTATCAAAGCAAGGTAGTCTTGGCCAGTTGTTCCTTAGCCAAATATGCTAGAAGAGAATCTATTAAACCCCAAACCATCTTGCCCGGCTAACATGTGATGCCTTTAACCCTTTAAGTAGTGGAAGCAAGATATGTAAACATTGGGGTAACATAGAACAGAAACAGAGAGCAAAGGTTGGAATCCAGGCTCCACCGCTAATGGGCTTGTGACCTTGGCCATAACAACTTAAACCCCTTTCCTCATCTATAAAAATGGAAATAATAACACATGCACAGTCATCTGTTATGTGCAGTTATGTATTCTTCTACCCTTGAACTTCAAAACCTATTCTTTTCAACATTAACTACATCCTGCTTTATTTCCTGTCCCCAATTCAAGTCCCACTCATGCAAACACTTGTGAGAATTCATCAGGTTCACATTCTTCAATATCCTTGGCTCTTCAGCTACGGGTCTTGAAAGGTCACCCCCCATTTTTGGCATAACTGTGTTGCTCCGTTTGCACTAAATCATAGCAAATGGGGAGAAAGCAAATTGGAACACAGTTTGGCAATATATATCAGGTACCTTCAAACCCTCTCAAAAGTGTTTTCATCCAGTATTTCCATTTCAGGGAATCTATCCTAAGGTAACAATCGGAAACACAAACCAAGACTAATGTACAAAGAGGACCATCAAGGCATAAGTCATAACAACAACAGTAAAAGGATTTTGAAAAATTTCTCCATGTGGGGGGGAAAAGAAATATATTTTTAACTCTTTATATGTTAAAATGATTATGTATAACATATATTATGTATTTTACATGATGTATGCAATTTCATGCATATGAAACCACCTAAAGCATCAATCAATCTTATTTTAATACTAATTTAGAGCTATCTGGAGCCCCAGTATCATAGGTTTCCAGTATAATGGTGGGCTTCATGAACCCTATCTCATTATATATATTGGAAAACCAAACTGACTCGTGGTGAATCACTCTGTGATAAAAGAGTTTGGTTTGTATCAAGAGTGTCTTCTTATAAATTAAAATATCCCTCTCAAATATTACTTGACCACCTCATCCATAAAGGATAGAGCGTCAGATTTGGTCCACTGTTCTCATATCGTTAGAATATGACACCATGCCAACCACTCAGCTTCTCTAAGAAGCTTGCCATCTCCCCACATACTCTTGGGAATGAGGGCAACTACCCAAGATTTAATCAGATAACCTCAAACCACACTTGAAAGTTCACTCCACACAGCCCATATCTGTGTCGGAGCATAAACAATTTTTGGTCTGAGAATCCAAAATGATGGAGCTAGCCTGAACTGAGATGGGGAAGCCTGCGGTGGAGTAGGTTTGGAGAGGTGACAATTTGGGATTCAGTGTCAGCCATGCTAAATTCAAGAAACCAAGTGGAAATCTTGAGGAGGCAGGCAGAAATGTGAGTTTGGAACTCAGAAGAGAGAGGTCGAGGTTGAGCACTCATCAGTGTGGGAATTGTCAGTACATAGATGATGTTTAAGTCCATGAGACAAAATGGCAACACTAAAGGCACAGATAGAGAACATAAGAGGCCCATGGAAGGAGGCTTCAGGCACTCAACATCAGGAACTTGGTTAGATGGAAACGAGCAGCTCATGGTAGGAGGAAAACAAAAGATGTACACCATGCAAGACATGAAAAAAGTGGACTTCCCTGGTGGTTCAGACTCTGCACTTCCAAGGCAGGAGGCACAGGTTCGATCCCTGGTCAAGAAACTAAGATCCCACATATCACACAGCCAAAAAAAAAAAGAAAAAGCATTTTAAGGAACCATCCTCTTGTGTCAAAAGCTGTTGATAGCTCAGCAGTGACAAAAATCTCTCACAACAGCTGCAGACTAATTGGTACAAGTGACTGAAGCCAACCACCACATCTAAAATCCTGTCTAGGTTATTTCATTCTTGATATGGAAATTCATTATGCCCATTCTGACTGTTGGTGATTCAATGAAGTCCTCTCCTTGTAAAAGTTTACTTCAACATTCAATTATATTACTCTCAACCCAGATACCCAGTGTGATGAACAGAGAATAAAGATAAGGTTGCCAGCCACCGACAAGATCCACCTTTACTCAGACTCTGATGTGAGAAGACGGAAAAGGAAGGGCGTTTCAAGCCCCATGTTGGAAGATTTCCTCCTTGGGTATATGGTTAGCAACCCCTTGTTAATGAACTGACTCTCCTTAAGGAAGATGTTACATGCATTTCAGTAAGGTTATTCTTCAAAGTGACATTCATATCTATCATTCAGGAAGAGATTTCTGAAAAATGCTCAGGCCATTGAACCATCTCACTCCTTTTCATGCTCCATGGATTTCTCCTTCTTCTTTCCGTCCTTTCCCCCAGAATGTCATGGAGCCTGGCTCTGCCATCTTGACAAAAATATTCCATTACCTTTAGGTGACCTTTCTCTGAGACTTGGAAATGGAGTGTTTCACCGATAAGTCAGACACTAGATGACTTCACTGGTGCTCCCTGAAAGACAGGACTGATGAATAGCTTTTGAACCCTGTTTCCCTAATCCTTCAGGCAGAATTAGAGGCTCTCCATAAGGGTAATCCCAAATGATTCATGATGCCTGCTTCAGCACGGTCACACATCATATAAATACAAATTGACAGTTTGTGCACACTGGCCCTGTGATGGTATTTACTTAAAATCCTCACAAGTACGCTCCCAATGGCTGAACTGAGGATGGTTCTGTATTTAGGACTGCTAAACAGAGACACCCACTCATCCTGTGCCAATCCAGCCACTGGACTGACAGAGAACTTCTGAATATTCAGCTCCCTTTCTGAGCCACCAGGCACTTAACTCTCCTTCAGGCAGGCAATGGGTTTGTGAGTTGATTGCAAGGATAGACCTTAAAAAAAGACAAAAAGATAGTAAGTTGACACATTGGGATAACCCCCCTTAGCCATCCTGAAGTTTAGAGGGTGAAACAAAAAATCAAGGCTATGAAATAAAAATAGAGCCAGGAAAGATCCGGGTTACAAACAAGATGCTAAGAGTCAGCTAGAGACACTTAAGAGCATGAATAATCCACCAAGTACTGAAAATACAAACAAAACAACTCGTATGGTATCCCCCTCCAAGAGAAATTTAATTCCATTATTTTCCAAAAGAATTCTTGATAGACAATAATGAAAAACCGACAGGCAGATACCAACTGTTATTGTTCTGAATTTGTGTTTTCAGCACTAGGGACCCCACTGCTTCAAAGAAAATGTCAAAAACAGCAACGCTTCTCACTGAGAGCAATGTGAAGGTCGTGTACGTAGTAGCATCCTGACTGCTGACTCTCGACTTGGGAGGAAAGAGTTGAAAGCAGGATTTGGAAAAGGGTAGAATTCATGTAAATAAAAGCAGAACGAGCTCAGAGCTGCCTCAATACCAGCTTTTACGCGGGCTCTTTTGGTGGTTAAACGCAGTGTGAAATAATCTTTTTAATGGTCCGGGGGAGCCCTGATTTCCTTTGTGTGTAAGCCCATTATGTGTTGACTTGAAAGGACTCCTCCTTTCTGGCTTTCTCCGACACTCCCTCTAATACCTCCCCTTTTCTTGTCCAGAGCATGATGCAGCACCCTTTGGAGATTAGGGAGAAAAGAAAACACCACCAGAGCAGATGAAGAGCTGGCAATGCTCCAGGCGAAAGACCTGCAAGAAGAAAGTGACATTCTTCAAGTCACTTGTTTTCCCTCATTGCGCGTGACCTCGGGGATTTTAACAGTGCTTTTTTTTACTATTACTCATTGGTCATCAATTCCCTTTTACCATTTGGATAACCCCTTTGGTTTATACACCCTATCCTGCAGTTTAGAAAGTGGAACAACAACAACAATAAAAGCTATGGGATGGTAACATGGGTGGGGAAAGATGAGCTGTCGATGGCACGAGGAGAGGGTCACTGAGGAAGTTCCCTGGTGGTCCAGTGGTTAGGACTTAGCGCTTTCACGGCAATGGCCCCAGGTTCAATCCCTGGTTGGGAAACTAAGATTCCAAAAGCCATGCGTGCGGTGGGGCTCAAAATGAAAGAGTCATCGAAAGTCAAGAGTAAGAGAACTAATACATGGTATTGGTATCGAGCCTCATCACAGCTCTACAATTTGTTTACTGTGTCCTGACAGATGCATAAGCAATCTTCCATGATGCTGATAGTCAAGGTGCTCCCTGTTTCTCTTGCTGGATTTGTTTATGGTCTGATTGGTCTGAAGCTATAAGTGCCCAATGTAAGATTATAGGCCATAGTAACTCTGCTCATAGGAAGGGTGACCAAAGGTTTAGATTTTATATCAAACATGCTAACTTTACCTTTTCTAATTGAGTATCTTACAATATCTAGTTCAACAGAATCTACAGATAAAATAAACCAAAAACACAATGTCTTTCTCTTAAAGAAAATCTTTAAGTAAATCAGAAGCTAAGCCAGAGACTAAGAGAACACATCTGTCAAAAGCTCTTAAAGTTAAGAATAAGGCAACAACCTGATTTTAAAAATGGGGCAAAGACCTTCCTTAACAGACATCTCACCAAAGAAGATAAAAATAAACATAAAAGTGTTCTGCATCGCATGTTATGAGGGAAATGCAAATTAAAACAACAAGATACCACGACACATCTTTAGGACAGCCAAAACCTGGAACTTGGAAAACACGAAATGCTGGCAAGAATGTAGAGTAACAACAAGTTTCATTCATTGCTGGTGGGGATGCAAAATGGAACAGTCACTTTGGAAGACAGTTTGGCAGTTTCTTACAAAACTAAACACACTCTTACCATACTATCCAGCAATCATGTTCCTTGGTATTTATCCAAGGGAGCTGAAAACTTACATCCACACCAAACCTGCACATGAATATCATAGCAGCTTTATTCATAGTTGCCAAAACTTGGATGAAACCAAGATATCCCTGTTGGTGAATGGATAAATAAATTGTGGTGCATCCAGACAAAGGAATATTATTCACTAAATATTTACATTTGATGGACTAGAAAGGACTCCAGGGTACCAAAGACAGGTGAGTAAAAGGTGGTGTCATAAAAGAATGTAGCCTGGAGTGTCCCCCTCTTTCCTCTTTAAGTTATAAAGTACAAGTTTTCAAAGCTCCTGATTTGGAAGGAGTAAACGTGAGAACAATTAAAGACAGTGATACCCAGAAATTTAATTGCCCACCGCAGAGACCAGCAGGTAGAAAAGTTAAACCGACAAGTTTTCTTTGTCTTCATTCACCATGAGAAAGACAACCAATGGAAAAGGGGACTTGGACTGGCAGAGGGAATCTGGGCTTCCAAGTGCCATTTCCTGACTTCATATTAATTTTTCATTCTTTTCTTTTCCCCAGTAAGTGTTTCTGACAAGGTGACTAAGAAGTAAGCCACACAGTCCCTTGGCTGGACCTAAAGTCACTGGGGAAAGCGAGGGAACAGAGCAGGAATGTTTTCAAGACTGAAAGCATAGAGCCAATAAAAATTTTAAATCCCTGTTTCTCAGGCTAGGATGTAGCCGTGATCTTGCTTGATGATTTTGAGGCAGAGTAGACAAATTCGGTCACCTCAGGACTTTTTAATAGTTTGAGACTTTGAGTGTGTTTTGGAAAGCACCAGCATCTGGCCATTCTTAAAGTGCCCATCACGGCATTCCAGAATTTAATTATAGTCCTTCGCTCCTAGTCACGTGGGATATTTAGTTTTCTAGCAGGTAAAGCGTGATACTTGGAAGAACAGAGTAATTTGCAGTTAGGTAGAAGGGAACAAATAATTAAACAACATCTCAAAGTGTAAGAAACAACCGCCACCACAGCAGCTCAGACGCTGTTTTCCTTCCTATATTTCATGGACTATGAGTCAACGCAGCCTAGAGGTTGACCTGAATTCTGGCATAATTGCATACATAAAAATTTGGATTTCAGCCCAATGTATAAGTTTACCCTTCTTATTGCAGCTGTTGCCCTCCAGGGCTGGGAGATCTCGCCTTCCCAATCGAGAGGCAGTTCTGGCGAGACCCGAGGCTCGTTGAAATCATCTTTGTAGTCAAACCTGATTAAATACAGCCTGGGTGGGAAGGACTAGGTTACCCGGGAGAGAGGTCTGCGCCTGCCAGCACCCTTTGTGTCAAGTCACAGACCCACTCGAACTGGTCTGAGCAGAAAATGTATTTAAAAGCTGTTAGGTAATTCACGGAAGTCCCCGGAAGGCCAGAGAACCAGGCTTGAAAGATATTCAGCCAAGAAGAGTCCCCGAATGCTGCAGAAACAGTCCCAGGACACCAGGATCTACACGGAGACCGGGTCCCCATCAGAAGCTCCACCTCCCACTAAAGTCTCCACCACCCACTGCTCCCCAGAGCATGTTCTGTGCCGCATCTCTTCAAATCTTAGATTCCTATAGGACTGTGTCTGACTGATGAAACCCATGTCGAAATGGGAGCCAAGAAGACAACTATCTTTGAGAGACAGAATAGAACCCATAACATGGGAAGTAATCTCTGGGTTAAAAAAGAAATAAGCTTCCCAGCCACAGAAAGACATGGAGAGGTGCATGTGTTTTCAGTCCTGCAAATTCGGGGTAACATCATAAACAAGTGTATGNTTAAAAAAGAAATAAGCTTCCCAGCCACAGAAAGACATGGAGAGGTGCATGTGTTTTCAGTCCTGCAAATTCGGGGTAACATCATAAACAAGTGTATGTCGGGACCCTTCTTAGCCCTCTGAAATGTTGATGGATACTCATCTGTTCAAATAGTCAGTCTTTCCCAGGAAAACACAAGTTGTTGATGGGAAGAGATCTCTTTTGCCATTTTGTTTAAGGATGCAGCCTAAGCAAACAAATCCTAGCACATAGCAGGTGCTCTATAAGCCTCTGTTGAATGACTGAATTCATTGAAGTCATATTTGCTTCATGTCTATTAGACATTGTAGATAGAAAAGTAAACAATACAGAGCCAGAATTCATCTGGCTCTCAGCAGCTACTGATCCAGGTCTGCCAGGCAAGAGAGCAGTGATGGGACCTGTGACAAGTGCATTGACAGAGGAAGGACGTGATGGAGAGTTCAGGAGAAGTCCCGGCTCTGGTCTTGGGAAGAGAGTGCCTGGAAGGACACCCAGGAGGATGAGTCTGAATTAGCCACTAACGCATAGAACGGGGGGGCTCACAGCTGAGATGGACAAAAGGAAGGGGGATGTCCAGAAGGTCTGCGTCTGCAAAAGTTTGGACATAAGAGAGTGTGGGACTTCAAGTAGTTCAATACAGGTGTTTTGGATTATAATCAGCCTCTGGGTTTCCACTCACCTTTGCTGGACAGTGTCACCTGTACCTAAAACAGAGATGGACCGTGTTCATCTTTAGGTCAATGGAACTTGGAAGAATTGGCATTCGTTGCCCATCACACACAAGGGCACTTCAGGATCAAAAGTAGTTCTTAAATAAGAAAATAAATTATCCAATTTTTCTAATGAGCAAAAGATCTGAATAGACACCTTATCAAAGAAGACGTCCAGGTGGGAAATGAGCTTATGGGAAGATGTTCAACATCATATGTCATCAAGGAAATGCAAATTAAAACGACCACAAAATGCCACTATAGATGTACCAGAACAGTCAAAATCGGGAACAATGACAACACCAAATGTTGACAAGTATGTGGAGCAACAGGAACTCTCATTCCTTGCTGGTGACAATGCAAAAGGGTACAGAAAAATTGGCACGGAAGTCTGGTGTGCTGCAGTCCACGGGGTCACAAAGAATTGGTCAAGACTTAGTGACTGAACTACAAAAACAAACATACTTTTACCATACAATCCAGGATTCATACTCTTTTGCACTTACCCAAAGGAGTTGAAAATGTATGTCTACTCAAGAATCTACACATGGATCTTTAATGTTGTCTAGTAGATGAATAGGTAAGTAAAATATGATACACCCAAACAATGGAATATTGTTCAGCACTAAAAAGAAATAAGCT